CAAGTTCCCTGACTGGAAGTACTTTGCCTTTTGAGGTAAGGCTTAATTTCCTTGACTAGAAATACCTTGCTTTTTGAAGTAAGGCTCAAACTCCCTGACTGGAAGCTTCTTGTCTTTTGGGGTGAGGCTCAATTTCCCTTATTAAAAATTTACTGTCTTCTGGAGTGAGGCTCACAGAGAGCAATGGCGGCAGCAAGCTGGGGCAAGCGTGGAGAGAGGTATTTATGCCTGGCGGAGGGAAAGGGGTGGGTCGTTCCTACTGCTGTGTCGTTCCCCTATTGGCTAGAGTTAGACTACCTAGGAGAATTTGTTCCTAGCACATTGTCAATCCCAACACTACTGGGTTGATCTTAATGAAAGTCTTGTTAAGTGATGGACCATGTAGCTAAAGGCAATTTAACCAAAAACCCAGCAAAGAGATGGGCAGTCACCTGTCGTGTCATGTTTTCTGAATACCTAAAGGCCAACTGTTGAAAGATGCTTCTCTCTGAATGCCAGGGGGAAAAAAAGAAGAAGAAGAAAAAAAGACAGTCCTGCTTTATGTTGATATACTTTGCTGCATTCAAGGTTATTAAAAAACCAGTGTTAGAATTAGAAAAGAATTCCAGGACATGGAAAGTGTGTTTCCAAATCACCAACACATTCACCCGAGAATTAAAAACTAAACTAACTTTGGGTAGAGGGGTGAAAATGGGGAAATATACCTGAGGTCATACATACAATGGGACCCTGCTTTTCTTTTAAATTGAATGACAGTTCATGTCGACTACAAAAATTAGGCTTTGATGCATCCCTGTGACATCATGTTTTAAAAGATAACGAGTGTGCACAGTTTTCAGCACATGGCTACTCTATCAGTATCCCTTTACAGGAAGAAACTACTAGGCAGAAGAGGGCAGGCTAGAAAGAGAGGCATTCCTGGCCTAAGGTGGGTTTGTTAGAGACATTGCTTCCTTCATTTGCACCCAAACGATTCTTACCACCTGGTGGCCCTCTTACGTTTTCAACAAGTGGCTAATGGGAATAGGCTGCGCTAACTGAACTTCAGGACTGGAGAGGAACCAGTGGGTGAGCCCTGGGGCGTGGTCTCCTCTGAATGAGCAAGCACATTTTCAACACAATTGGCTGCCTAATCGTGTGTTGCAAACTTGGCTGATGTATTTGGATGTGTAAGCAATTATGTTTCCGCTAAAAGCCTTGGTTGGTAACGCTTTTGTTCTCCGTTTCCTTACAACTGAACTAACAGAGAGAAGAAACTGGTATGTAAATGGTTTTCTTTTTTGAGAAAGAAAGAAAAAAAAGAATGAAAGAGAGAAAGAGGAAGAAAAAGAGAGAGAGAGAATGGGAGTCTTGCTTTATTGCCAAAGCTAGAATGCAGTCTAAAAATGAGTATTAAAAACCTCTTTTATGCTGATAACTGTGCTTAATAATGGAGACAGGAAGGAATAAGGGAAGAAAATAGCAAACAAGCAGCCAACCGATATTTCATTTAAACCTGTGAAATGCTGTGCAATTACTGAGGAGTGATTTACTTCCAATTATGTAGTCACTTTTAGAGTAGGTGTGATGTGGTACTGAGAAGAATGTATGTTTTGTGGATTTGAAGTGGAGAGTTCTGTAAATGTTTATTAAGTTTACTTGTTCCAGGTCTGAGTTCAAATCCTGGATATCCTTGTTAATTTTCTGTTTCGTTGATCTGTCTAATATTGATAATGTGATGCATTTGGTGGGTAAATCTTCCTCCACCCCTTTGAGTCTTTATGCATCCTTGCATGTGAGATGGGTCTAGATGCAGTATACCGATGGGTTTTGGCTTTTTATTGAATTTGCCTGTGTCTTTTGATTGGGGCATTTAGGTGATTTAAATTTAGGATTAGTATTAATATATGTGAATTTAGTACTGCCATTTAATGCTAACTGTCTGTTTTGCCCTTTAGTTGATATAGATTCTTCATTATGTTGATGCTCTTTAGGTTTTGGTATATTTTTGGAATGGCTGATACTGGTTGTTCCTTTCTATGTGTAGTGGTTCTTTCAGAAGCTCTTGTAAAGCAGGCCTGGTGGTGATGAAATCTGAGTACTTGCTTGTTCACAAAAGATTTTATTTTTCCTTCAGTTATGAAGCTTAGTTTGGCTGGATATGAAATTCTGGGTTGAAAGTTCTTTTCTTTAAGGATGTTGAATATTGGCCCCCACTCTCTTCTGGCTTGTAGGGTTTCTGCTGAGAGATCTGCTGTAAGTCTGATAGGCTTCCCTTTGTGGGTAACCTGACCTTTCTCTCTGGCTGCCCTTAGCATTTTCTCCTTCATTTCAACCCTGGTGAATCTGATGATTATGTGCCTTGGGGTTGCTTTTCTTGAGGAATATCTTTGTGGTGTTCTCTGTATTACCTGGAGTTGAATATTGTCCTGCCTTGCTAGTTTGGGAAAGTTTTCCTGAGCAATATCCTGAAGAATATTTTCTAGCTTGGATTCATTCTCTTCGTCACATTCAGGTACACCTATTAAACGTAAATTAGGTCTTTTCATTTAGTACCATCTTTCTTGGAGACTTTGCTCTTTCCTTTTTACGCTTTTTTCTCTAATCTTGCCTTCTCGTTTTATTTCATTGAGTTGGTCTTCGACCTCTGATATCCTTTCTTCTGCTTGGTCAATTCGACTGTTAAAACTTGTACATACTTTGGGAAGTTTTCGTATGGTGTTTTTCAGCTCCATTAATTCACTTATATTCCTCTCTAAATTGTCTATTCTCATTAGCATTTCGTCAAACCTTTTTTCAAGGTTCTTAGTTTATTTGCATTGGGTTAGAACATGTTCTTTTAGCTCACAGAAGTTTCTTATTATCCACCTTCTGAAGCCTGATTCTGATAATTCATCACATTCCTTCTCCATCAGGCCTTGTTCCCTTGCTGATGAGGAGCTGCGATCCCCTGAAGGAGGTGAGGCATTCTGATTTCGGATGTTTTCAGCCTTTTTGCACTGTTCTTCCCATCTTTGTGGATTTATCCACCTGTCCTCTTGGTAATTGCTGACTTTCAAATTGGGTCTCTGAGTGGACATCCAGCTTATTGGTAATGATGTTATTTCTGTTTCTTTGTTTTCCTTCGGCGATGCCGCTCCCCCACAGAGCTGGACCTTCCCAGGTTCAGCTGTGCTTGCTGTGAAACTCTCAACCTTCAGCGTTTCCAAGTGCTGTTTTTTTGTGGGGGTGGGACCAGCCAGGTCCGATCAACTGGCTCCCCGCCTCGGAGCCCCTTTTTTTTCTTTTCCCAATTGAACAGTTGATTCTCTCCAGGGTGCCCTAGTCGCCCGCCGAAAAGGCGCCAGGATCTATGAGATTTCCCCTGCGGCGACCACGGGCTGAAACAGCAGGCACTGAGATTCATGGCGTTTTTCTGCCCGGGAATCTCCGGGTCTGGCTCCCCGCTTCAGTCCCCTCTTCAATCAGCTGAATGGGAGACTCTGCCTTCCCGAAGCTCCAAACGCCAACCAAAAGGGCACCCAGTCCTGCATACTCTGCCGTCCGGGACACCAGCAAAACAGCCACACCGGCCAAAAGAGTCACACTGGTGACCCGTGGGGCTCTTTCGCTGGGAATCTCCTGGTCTGTGGGCAACAAAAATTCATCTGGAAGTCTGGCGTCCACTCCCTACGCCTTCACTGGGAGCTGCAATCCTGAGCTGCTGCTAAACAGCCATCTTGGATCTCAATCTGGAAATGGTTTTCAATATGTTTTGTGTTGCTTTTTAACTTTTTTTTTGAAAACATTTTTCAATCAAGCTGGCCAACTAACTGATCCAAGGTTTATTATACCTGCAAACACCACACAAAATAGGAAACAAAGAGAAAAAGAAACACAGAGGATAATAAAAGTAGTTTTAATAATAGAAAAATGTCTGATAAAAAGGCCTACATGTTTACATTAAACCACACCATTTAAATGTTATTAATTTTACTGAGCACCTCTCCATATGGGGCACAGTGTAAGTTGAGTACTGAGAATGACTAAGGCATATGGCTCCCGACTGCAAGAAATATTTCTTCAGGTTGGGTGCAGTGGCTCATGCTTGTTATCCCAGCACTTTGGGAGGCTGAGGTGGGTGTATCACCTGAGGTCAGGGGTTCAAGGTCAGCCTGGCCAACATGGTGAGACCCCCTTCTCTACTAAAAATACAAAAGATTTAGCCAGGCATGGTGGCAGGCGCCTGTAATCCCAGCTACTCAGGAAGCTGAGCCAGGAAAATCACCTGGTCCCAGGAGGTGGAGATTGCAATAAGCCAGGATCGTGCCATTGCACTTCAGGCTGGGCGACAAGACTGAAACTACCTCAAAAAAAATTTTTTGCAAAAAGAAATATCTCTGGAAGCAGGCATTTGGCAGATACTGGCTTAATGTCTGACTCACCTGAGATTTCATGTGATGAGACTCTTCTTCTCTAAAAGAGCAGTAACTATAAACCACAGACTGAATCCTTTGCCTTTCAGTAGTTCTATCATAGCCTCCACTAAGATTTCCCCATCTATCATATTATGCTAATTAATTTCGAAACGATTACAAGTTGTTTCATTAGGGGCTAAAAAAAACAACACTCAAACTGTTGCCTCAAATAGTCTGGGAAATAGACAGACCAAAAGTAAATAGACAAATTTTAAAACAGCCGTTTTTGTCATAAATATATGGAATTGTAGACCTCTAAAAACACGTTTTTGCAGTTGCTTCCTGCAGATATTGCACATTATGTTTCTGTAATCCTGGTAACTTTAGCACTTCAGAATTTTAAGTTCAGCTGAGAATTCATTATCATTCCTTCATTAAAATGTCTCCATGTGTAAAACGAAACTGATACTTCGTGTGCAAGCAGTAAGATCTGAATTTGAATTATAGCTCCTTTGTTTACTAATTCTGTGATGTCACCATAGCCCTTTCCATCTTTCACTTGTTTCTAATATCCCAGGACAATTGCAAGCAACAAATAAGACACATATGAGGACTTGCCTAAGATAGAGCCTCAGCAAAGAGAGAATCTCAGTAAGAATTAAGAGTTGAGGTGAGTACTGAAACTAAGTTTTTCAAAATATATTTGTCAGCTATCTCAAGGAAACTTTAAGCGGCTTTTCATTACAATGGAGGCTTAATATTGAAGGTGGTTATATTCTTAATTCCTCGAGTGTTCAGCATTTAAGTGTATGTTTTACCTTATTGAGAGCCAATAAGATGATGTTGCCTTGCACCATCTGGAGAACACTTTGGCACTTTTTATATGTGCATGACTTTGACGTTTGGAGTAATCAGGGAAAAGAATAATATAATCTTTTTTTTTTTTTTTTTTTTTTTTGAGATGGAGTTTTGTTCTGTCGCCCAGGCTGGAGTGCAGTGGCAAAATCTTGGTTCACTACAACCTCTGCCTCCCGGGTTCAAGTGATTCTCGTGCCTCAGCTTCCTGAATAGCTGGGTTTACAGGCGCGTGCCACCATGCCTGGCTGATTTTTGTATTTTTTTAGTAGAGACAGGGCTTCACCATGTTGGCCAGGCTGGTCTCGAACTTCTGACCTCAGGTGATCCTCCTGCCTCTGCCTTCCAAAGTGCTGGGATTACAGGTGTGAGCCACTGCGCCTGGCCTAAATAATAGAATCTTTAACATGCACTGTCACAGGTTGCAAATGAACACATCCAATACGCTTGGAGTTTCACTTTCTCTGAAATTCTTCTCAATAGAGTCAATTATTGGTTATTAAAATGAACACTCAGTTCTCAAGCTCTATAGTGTTTATTCTGCTGGGGTTTGCTTACACTGTTTGGGGCAAAGAAATCAACATGCTCATGCATAAGCAAGTGCTCATGCAGACGTACCTCTTATTTCCACTGTGGCTAACTCTTTTAGTTGGCCTTATCACATCCAATTCCTCCCTTTTGAGTAAGGGTGATTACATGCATAACAAGGACTTAGGCAGCAGTGATTTGAATTTTACCTGGATAAACTGGACTGAAAGCCAGTATACAACAGAGGTTGGTAGGTGACACACTGCTGATTGATAATCCAGGTAGAGACATAGACTATGAGACCAAAAGGCAATATTAAGCCTGGGAAATCATTCTTAGGGAAAGCAGAGACATGACCTCAACCCCACAAACAGAGGCAGAGTGGGAAAAGCCATGGGCAAAAATGAAAACAATCAACAGGGCTTATTGAAGATATCAGAGCAACCAGAAAGTGGGGCAAAACTGGGGAACTTTGGAAATAAAAGCTGACTTAACCACAGAGGAGGCAGTCATCCAGTGAGATTCAGACCCTCTGGGGAATTGACTTGAGGCAAAGCAAAAGACTCCTGAAGACATTTCTCTTATTTGTTTTCCCCACACCAGACTATGTATACGGGTGAGGGTGAGAGGTCTGATGAGTCACTGAGACAAAGAGCTTTGAAGTGAAAAGCTGGTATGTCCTGTGACAAGGGGCTCTGGGATTCCACCAGCTGCAGGTACATAAAGGGGATGGGTAACCACTGATTGTCTGAGCTGGGTTCATGCATGGGCTCTCTTTTATTCCAATTATTCCACAATTGGCACCTCCATTCGGAATCTCTGTTATAGTTAATATTTCCACTCTGCTCCTCCTGTAATATATACAGATTGAAGTTCTTCTTGAGATTGGTAAAGGGTTGCTAAAGGGATGGGGTGGGTCCTGCCTTCTCATCTGAAGCCTCGTAGGGGAGCTTCCAGGGACAAGACTAAGAACTTTTAAATGTCTTTGCTCAAGGTGGGAGACCAAAAGGTCTGGTGCCAGACTCACACCTGACAAAGGTAATGCTGCCTGTTGACTCAAGGCTGACTCCCTACTGGGAGAGTCAGCCTAACAAAGAGCTCATTGCTTTGCTGGCAAAAGTGGGATGGGCCTGCTGACCAATGTCTGTGAGACATACGGTTAAAAGAATATTGTCCATAGACTAAATTTGGATGATGCAAGTACAGGGTAAACACACCTAACAACAGTAACTTAAGCATACTCTTAGGATGAGCCTGTATGCCAGATATGCCAGAATGTGTGTTCCAACCAAAGGAATCTGGGTTTGGCCAACCCAGTGATTCGTTCTTTGTCTATGAGGAACATCTGAGCTCTGGCTCATCTGGTGGAAGGGCCATTGTATTAGTCAGTTTTCACACCGCTATTAATACAAAGATACTACCCAAGAAGAAAAGAGATTTAATTGACTTCATAGTTCCATATGGCTGGTGGCTCAGGAAACTTACAGTCATGGCAGAAGGGGAAGCAGGCACCTTCTTCCCAAGGAGGCAGGAGAGAAGTGAGTGAGGGTGCAAGTACCTTTTATAAAACCATCCTGGTCTTGTGAGAATTCACTCTCTGTTATGAGAACAGCATGGGGAAACTGCCCCCATAATCCAATCACTTACCTCCCCGGATACGTGGGGATTACAAGTCCCTCCCTTGACATGTAGGGATTATATTTCAAGACGCGATTTATGTTGGGATGCAGAGTCAAACCATATCAGCCATATGGGGGATTGAAGCCCTGAGTTTTGGGTTGAATGCAGGTTGCCAGGTGGAGGTCATTAAGGGGAGGCTGTTAAGTGAAAATGCTAGATAAACCGCATGCTGTTTGCAAGTGGTTGCTGTTCTCCTGCCCAACCAGCCACCACTGGGCCGTATTTATGGTGGATATGTTGGGCAGCCTCCTACCATTGTGCAATTTCCGTATGTAGGGTGGTTCTCCTGCCCAGCCCGCTGCCACTGGACTCTCCCCTCTGTATGTAAGTCCTTCAGAAACCCCCACATCTCGTTTGCTGGTTTTGGATTTCTTCTTCGCCATCTTAAACCTGGCACTTTCCCTACTCAGATCAACAGGGATTCAGCACAACAGCAAAAGAGCCAAAGTAGAATTGCTGAGGGCCTGTCTGACCATGCAGAAAGAAGCTGAAGATAGAACACACCCAGTCTTTGTGGAAGGAGCAGCAAGTAACCACTTTGAACAACAAAGAGAGGTATATTGTTTTTTGTTTTGTTTGTAAAGGAACTACAGAAGGAAGGTCCCATTGGGGCTATCCTAAGATTCCCCAAAAGGGTCCTATAAACTAAATGTTGGTGTTCCCTAAATTCCCAAGTTGAAATCGTAACCCCCAATGTAATGGTTTTAGGAAGTGAAGCCCTTGGGAGATAATTAGATCATAAGGATAAACACCTCATGAGTGGGATTCCTGTCCTTATAGTGTCCTTATAAAAGAGATCTCAGAGACCTCTGTCACCTTTTCTGCCATGTAAGAACATAGCAAAAAGACAGCTGTATGTGAACTAAGAAGAGGGCAGTCCCTAGAACCAAATCTCCTGGTACCTTGGTCTTGGACTTCTAAGGCACCCGAACTGTAAAAAATGAGTTTTTGTTGTTTATAAGGCATCCAGCCTATGGCAATTGATTACGGCAGCCCAAACAGACTTAGGCAGGTCCCCAAAGAGAAATGGTCAACTTTAAATATCAGCTAGGCCCCGAATAAAGCCTCAAAAGCAAATAAGAATGGGGCTTCTTACCTTTCTGTCACCACTGTCTCAGTAACCCCACCCTCTTCCCATTTTGCCCCTGCTGACCAGCACAGGTAGCTATGAGTGGGAGGCAAGCAGAGCACCTAGGTGAGAGAAGGTGGCCATGGTCCTCACCACATAGCAGCAGGGCTCCAGGCTAGGCAAGTGTGAGCTGGAGGCCGGAGGTTATGCAAAGTCAAGGTCAGGGTTCTGACTGAAACATGGGACTGTGCTTTACATGTCAAATTGTGATATTTACTTCCCCATCGTGATGACAGGAATGTCTATTGCCAGAAAGTGAGTCAGTAAGCCATGGCACTGGTCCAAATTTGTATCTGGTGCAGATAGTTGCCCAACTAAATAAAGCTCAGAAAGACAGTAAGAGACCAAAATGAATTGCCTCTTGATTCTATTCTTCAGGATACCCTTGTTCAACTTATGTCTTATACATATAGTCATCCTAGTCAGAAATCTGGAAGCTACCTAAGTTCTCCCTTTTTCTCATCATCCACATTCACTCAACCATCATAATCTATAAGATTGTTGCTAAATGTATTTTAACCCATTCCCTCCACTTCATCCCAAACTGTGTCTTAGTCGAAGTCATCATCAAATCCATCTGGACTACTGCATGCTCCCTTCACCAGATCTGAGCCTCTGGTCTCAGCCTGTGTTCCCATTAAATATGCTTGATAAATGGTCAATATATCTAAGCCATTATTCTAATCAGTTATTTTTATTCATCCTTCAAGATTTGGCTCAAAAGTCATCTCATAGAAGCCCAAGCAAGGCCCACACTACTGATTGATTCTACCTACCCAATCTGTGCATAACTCTACCTTTGTTGGAATATCAATATATGTACCTATGTCACTCACAACTAACTCTAAATTTTTCAAGGGCAAGAAGACTTCATTTCAGTATGACTGGCTTTTAGTCAATTATCTATCACATAGATGCTTAATAAAAGTTTCCTAGACTGAATTAAGCCTCATGTTAAAAAATAAAGATACACAATAAATAATAAAGTCATACTATAATAAATTTATTTTTAAATTTATTATTCTGCATTTGCAACTCCAAGCATTTCATTATCTGTGCAGGTAAACCAGAAATCATTATAGTAAAGTTCATGAGATCATCTTGGGTCATGCTTTGTTATATTGCCCATCATGAACACCATGTTACAAATGGCCTTTTGCCATTGTCAGGGTGTTTGCATAAATGCCATTCAGATGTCATTGAGGTAGGGAAACTACATGTTCCTTCTCAACAACCTCTCTGCCCTGATAAGTTATGTATTATGATGAAAGTAAGTATTACACCAAAGTCTGCCACAAGTACATACCTTCATTAGCAAACAGATGCGATGATATTGACCAACCAGTTCTTATAATATCAGGCATGTTCTTACTCTTACCTTTTAAGCACTCTGAAAAGAGCCAGTCATTAGGTTCATGCAGAGGACAGGATCAGTTAACATACTAGAATCAAGCCAGAAAATCGTCTTAGTCTATTTGGGCTGTTATAACAAAATGCATTGGACTGAGTAGCTTATAAACAACAGAAATTCATTTCCCACAGTTCTAGATATGAGGAAGTCCATGATCAAGGCACCAGCAGATTCAGTGTCTGATGAGGAACTGCTTCTTGATCCACAGATGGTGCCTCTTGCTGTGTCCTCACATGGTAGAAGGAGTGAGCTACCTCTCTGGGACCTCTTTTATATGGGAACTAATTCCATTCATGAGGGCTCAACCCTCATGACCTAATCACCTCCCAAAAGGCCCTACCTCCTAATACCAGTACCTCGGGGGTTAGAATTTCAACATATGAATTTTAAGGTGACATAAACATTTAGATCATAGCAAGAATCTTCTGGTAAGCATTACAGAAGATTGAATGGAGTTGGCGTCAATCCAAAGATGATATGCTGCTGGCCTGGCCTTGTTCCTACAAGGGCAGAAGGGCCTGCACATTTTTTCTGTAATCAATCACACATTTTTTTTTATCCTCCTCTAAAGCATCAATATTGCACATTTTTAATTCTATTCATTCAATCAGTAAAAGTTCTTCCTATTCATTTTGCTAATGAGCAAACCTTCTAGATAAGATTTAGCTAATGTTATGTCTACTGTTTGTCAAAACCACCTCTGGAAGGTAGAGTCCTGATTAACCTCTTCCAAAGCTTCCTGGCCATCCTTGGAGCAGTGTTACTAAATAAAAAACTTAAAATAGTACCTGACACCTAGGATCTAGTAAAATTAACTTACATATACATATTATAAACCATGCTATCTGTACTAGAGAACTTTAAAATAAATTACAGATAAGATAACTGAAGTGTAGCAAGAAAATTCTTAAAAGATTAATTTTGGTCTATAGTTTGCTGTTATATTTTTCCTTTCCTCCATTCAACCAGAGGAACCCACACTGCCTGAAGTAGAGTTAGGATTGCTATGGCAGCAATTCCAAAGAGATAAATAAGAGCCAGTGTTTTCTATTGGCTTCCCAAGCAGACTCCTGAAAGCAAAACGGAAAGCCCAGCTAAACACAGTAGGTATAGGCCAGGGAACTAGATTGGAAAGATAATCACAGGCAGAGATCAATGGGCCACCCCACCACCTGTGGGGAAGAGGAGGCAATGGGGCTGCATTTTCTACAACCTAATTTCCATTTGTATCCTTTTTCTTTATATTTTGGTCTTGATTGATTGGTAAATGTATCTCTCTACTGTCAGCTGACAGACAACCCAAGAGTTGGATCTATTTAATGAGACCAAACCACAGAAAATAGGAAAAAATGAACAGTGGAGATGAAAGTGAATGACTTCTTGATACTGAAAAGTTGAATCCTATGCAAAGAAATTTCTGATGACTACATTTTTAAAAGGTTGTGTATTTCTTCCTCCACTTAAAAATAACAGCAATGATGCTAACACTTTATTGAGCAATTCCTATGTGCCAGGCACTTGTCCTGGTACTTATGTACTTACGAACTTTTCATACTAACTGGGATGCAAGCTCCTTGGGGGTAGGACTTTCTGTTGATCTTTGTTCACTCTTATGCTTGCCAGGGCCTGTGGAAGGATCTGGTTTGTCATCAACATTAAATAAATATTTGTTGAATAAATGAGTAAACTGACTTACAGAGTCTTCTGTTAGGAAGCTCTGTGAAGTAGATATTCTCATCCTGCAGTTAAGAAATCTAAACTACTGAATTAGGAAAGCCTCAGTCTTTTATAGATGGATTCAGAATCTACCCAGTCCAATATGCCATGATTTTTCCTCTTCCTGCCTTCATTTCCTATTTCATTCCTTTATCTAGTTCTTTCTGTCTCACACAGCACTTTCAATGCAAAGAGACATAGCCAGCTACTATGACCCATAGCTGCACAGTCAATTAGTGGTGAAATGGCTCAGAAACCAAGATCTGTGATTCTAAACCATCCAGTCTCCTCATTCCAACTCAGCTTCCCTCAATCAGAACAAATAACTCATTATTTATTGAAGCTGGATATTGATTAGCTCTCAAAAGCTGCACACATTTGCTTTCTTTTTACCTTTTGAAAAAAAATAATTTCTTAGATCATGATTACTGAATTTAGCCATCAGGCTTAGATTTTTAAGAGCGTGAATCAGATGATGTTGAAGCTGAAAGGGACTTTCAAGGCTATCTGTTGAAAAACTTTTTTTCTACACAGATAAGCAAACTGTGTCACAGAGAGTGAAGTAATCTGTTCAGGGCAACCCACTGAATCAGTGAAAGAATCACAGGAGAAGCTAGGTCTCCAGAGACCTAGTTCAATGCCTTCCATACTCATGTACTAGACTTGCTTCCTTGATTCAATTAGACACCATTTTTAGAATAGGACATGAGGACACTTTTTTTTTTTTTTTTTAATCTAGTATGCTTTTTTCAAAAAGTGGCAATAGGGGAAATTCTGTGGCAGTTTTCTACCTACCCGGTAGGCCTGAAATATCCTTTAAGTTTCCCTGCTGTATTTACTTGTTTTGCTATTTAGGATTTTGTGACTGTTTCTCTTAAGGCCCCACTCCATTCCTGATTTTTAGAGCAGGCTCTCATTCCCTAGTTCTAAATCCTAAAATGAACATTAGAAATTTAATTCCAGGTAGAGGGAAAAAGAATTTTAAGAGGTCTTTTCTTCTTGAGATGGAATCTCACTCTGTTGCCCAGGATGGAGTGCAATGGCATGATCTCGGCTCACTGTAACTTCTGCCTCCCAGGTTCAAGCAGTTCTCCTGTCTCAGCCTCCCAAGTAGCTGAGATTGCAGGTGTCCACAACCATGCCCAGCAAATTATTATTATTATTTGTATTTTTAGTAGAGACAGGGTTTTGCCATGTTGGTCAGCCTGATCTCAAACTCCTAACCTCAGGTGATCCACTCACCTCGGCCTCCCAAAGTGCTGGGATTACAGGCATGAGCCACCACACCTGGTCAAGAAGTCTTCTAATATCAACTCCTGAAGTTTCATTCCGGAATATATCAACTACTTGTTTGGACAACTACATGTTGAAATCAAACTCCTTAATCCAGTATCTTTCAAGGAAACAAATCCTTGCCAACCCTTGCCCTTATAACACTGCCTAACTGGCCTGAGGAGCCCAGGGGTCCATGGAGGAATGGTGAAAAGCAAGAAAAGTGGCAAGAGGGTCTGAGGGGGACGTTAACATCAACCCTCAGGCCAATTGTGATGCATAGTCAGAAATTCCTCTTACACATGCTTGCCCTAGAACACTACAGAGAGAGACTTAAAGTGAGCTGGTTCTGTCCCTTGAACTTGGATATACTTGTCAGTGTTGGTTTCTTGATGGAGAGAAGTCTGTTTTCCTCAGGGCCTAATAACAGGCACAGCTGACTTATATGACTGAGACTTTGACAAGAGGGTGGTGATGATGATGGTGAAAGGGCTGTTACCCAACATCTGAAGCATGATACTAAATAAGAAAAGGACTTTCGCCCTTTTTAAGTTGAGAAAGAGACAGAGATAGCATTGCAGTGTTATAGTCATATTTACAAGGTTATTAAAACCTAAGGGTTTTTTTTCCTCTACCTAGAATGACTCAAGTTATCTTCAGATCCAGCCCAGACTTGAAGAGAACGGAAGTCAAGCTCTTAAGCATCAGGGAAGTTTTGAGACTGTGATAACCTGCAAGGGTAAGTCCAATGAGAGAGAGAGTGAGCTTTATCTTTATGACAAAACAAGTAACATCAGTTTTATCTTGCAACTGTTGGCCACAAAACGCCTTTGTGAAAATGCAATTTAACACAATAACGTGAAGTAGATTCTTCTATTCCAGGAAGAAAGATGATGAACAGAGGTGGGGCAGGATCTTGTCAGAAAGGGTGGCCCTGTGGTGGCAGTCTCTCCAGAGACTCCAGTGGTGATGGAGGGGTGGCATCAGCAGGCTGTGGAGACCCCAGCTGTAGCTGCATGGGTAGCATCAGGCAGCATGTGGAAGAGTACGGGGTGCTGCACTGCTGAGCAGGGACTGGCATGGCCGGCTGTGGGATGCTGTGAGCTATGCCGCCAGCCACATGCATACAAGAATGAGGGCCTCGGGAACCAGGATCTGGGTACTTGAATAGCAGGAATTGTATCCAGAGGTTACTGCTCGGACAGTTATTCATATCATCTACCTCTCTGTCCAGGTGCGATCTAAGAAACATGGTTAGATAAACATGGCAGTTTCCAACTGAGACTCATCCCAGGTCTCTTCATTTAGTTTGAGAGAAGGGGAAATGGTTTGAACTGAAACTATTCCCACTAAGGATTTTTGAGAAAAACATAGCTTTCTCCCAAAGATCACTTCTATATGGTAAACAGAGGCCTCACACTGATCCAAAGGCTTGGCTAGAGATGAGAGAATAAGAAATCTGTCTTATAACCCAAAAAGGTTGAACTTCAGCCTTCTGTGAAACAGCCTCCTGGGTGCAACTTAGCAGGTGTCTTAGCTCCCTAAGAATGGAATAATTTTAGATAGTCCCGGAGTACCTATCAAGTGTAATAACATTTAGGTACTTATGTGTAACAGAAATTCACCAAATGTAAAATTTCCGCAGATTACACTTTCCACATACTTTGTTTTAGTGCCTAATATGCCAATTTGAAATTATTCCCAGCTCGTAGACCCTATCCACTGATAAGCCTCATGGTTTTAGACCACAGCGTGAATACCTCTCTGGTCTCGTTGCCATCAAGAAACCAAAAATGAATTGGAAAATCAGTGGCCCTCCTGTCATCGTGGCAGAAGTCAAGACTAGAGGAAGGCACATTTTTCTTGTATAGTCGAGGTACGGCCTCAGAGCCCTTCATCAGGTATTTACTGAGCCTCTACTATGTGCCGGGCACCCCAGGCAGACAATGTGCATCCATGTTAGAGTTGGCAAAAGACATGAAACCAGTTTCACATTTCAGATCCAGAGCCTGCATTCAATCTTACTTTTCTTAGACCTTGTGTGGACCAACACAATCTAGCTTGTTAGTGCCCCATCACTGCTGTTTCCAATGGGCTGGAACAGGAAGCCCCTCAGACGAAAAATGGCTGTGTTTTAGCTCAGTCATGGACATACGGAATTATTCAATACTGGTAGCATTTTCCTAAAAGTCAAAAGGCAAGTGAGTGGATGTTTTTGTGACTTGCTGAGAATGCAAAGTTTATTGATTTGTAGCTCACCTTTTGAATACTTACAATGCTCTCTAAACAAAAAGTTGCTACCTATTAACCTCCTGATGAACTTAAATGTAATTGTGTATGAGACCTGAGTTATGAAAAATGAATCCTTCTGTTCAAGCCATAACTTTGGAGTTCTTTGGCACACAACATGAAAATTTTTTCCCTCCGATTTTGATTACATATTTTGGAAATAAGCCTTAATATGTCGCTTAACTTCTGCCAAAGTGCTTGAAGCCTCTTTGGATGCCTAATCTCAAGGTGACTGTTTCTCAAATTTTACAGATCATATGTACTTTTCAAATGACCCAGTGATTTTCTAAAAGCTAGAAATAACAATTGTAGTGACAAAATGCCCTTCCTTAGAAAATTTTAAGACACTAATGCTCAAGACTATTCTTTTAACAAAATGACGACTATTGACATTCTCACTATCCACTAATAACAGTTTTAAATTTATGCAGAGGGCAAAATTAATCAGATATTTTGATTTTGTGATAGAGACTATTTCTAAAATGATGGGGTATGTATTGATGAAATAAATATTGTCAAATAACTCTAACTAATTATGTATCACAATGAGTATTAAATAAACTGTCCTCAATGGTAAATAAGCAGAATATACTGGAGAACTAGGTGTCTCAGACTGGAGACAACCAAGAATGCTGGATTATTGCAGGTGGCTCACATAGCATTTTGGGGTTTTGGGGAAAACAGTGGAATCTGTAAAATGATTTAAAAATTCATGTTATTATCTGCAAATCTTTTTTTTAAAATTAACTTTGACAGTAACTGATTTCTATTATTAGAGAGCCCAAAACTACAAACAAATGCATGGCACCTCTAGCATGCATTTGATCTTATTATAAGACTTTCAATGTCTAGGTTTAGTATTTGCAGATGAAACATTTCTATTGAGCCTCAACCCTATTGAGGCTGGGTTGATATGGTTTCTTGTGGATTAACTGTATAGGAGCGCCTTTCTTTGGTGAAGGGCATTAAACAAAACATTTAAATAATGGTGCACAGTTCAACTCCAAAGACTCAGTTAGATGCTCAGCCCAATTTTCCTTACCTTTTGTTCTCTGAAAAGCTTAATCTTTTGGCTTATGGAAGGTATGTGAATTTATGATCATAATAACTTTATATTAGACATGACTTTTTAAAATTTTATGACTTTTTCCTGAGACTTCTCTTGAGATTCCCCCCCCAGCACTTTTGATGAAAGAGGGTTGGTAATTTTAAACTGTTGCATTTTCTTTTCTTTTTTTTTTTTTTTGAAGTTTGAAAGCTTTTATTTTATTTTTATTATTTTTTAATTATATTTTAGGTTTTGGGGTACATGTGAAGAACATGCAAGATAGTCGCATAGGTACACACATGGCAGTGTGATTTGCTGCCTTCCTCCCCTTCATCTATATCTGACATTTCTCCCCATGCTCTCTCCCCCCAACTCCCCACCCTCTGTTGTCCCTCCCCTATTCCCCCCACCACAGGCCCCAATGTGTGATGCTCCCCTCCCCGTTCGTGGTGAAAATGTTGCATTTTCTATAGCACCCTATCAATATATACTTCAAGGAAAGCAGGGAGGCCAGGTGTCCTTTCTACATGTCACATTTCCCATGACTCCAGGGCTGTCCACAGCCTCCACAGGGAGGAAGAGAATGCTGGCTTTGGGGCTTTGCATCCCTGGATGTTATCATGGGAATGTGAAGCTGTTCTACACAATTTCCACAGGGCAACAGCAAATTGCTATTGAGCACAAGGATCTACAAGTGAGTGAGAAGGGAATCACATAGCTAGTCCAATTTCAAACTGATGACCTCTTCAGTGCTATAATCATGACACAAAGAGTTGAAAAAATATGTATTATGTCTGGTCAAAATAGGAACATTTTCTTTAAAACTCTTTTCATTTTTTCTTTCTTTTAACCGTCCCCTCTGGATGTGAATATTCACTGTCAAACCTTTGATCCCAGTGATCCTCAAACATGAAAAGAGGAACAACTTTTATAATGTGGATGTTTTAATTTTCTATACAAGCGCTGAAAACTATAGATCCGTGAAGTTGGAGGATAAGATCGGCTTCAGCTTTAGGAAAGAGATTGACTGATATTTATTCAAAGATTTTTAAGTGAACCTTCACAACAGAGTGTGAAACCAATCATGTATATCTGGAGCTTAAGGTTCTGATTTTGTTTTCTTCCTGGAGTACGAGTGTGAGTGCCTATGTGTATATATTGGCTTAAGTAATATGGCTATCACCTGTAAGGTGCAAATTTCCTAGAAAATTATAAACTCTTTCTTTTTCTATGGCTGGTCTTTCCATTTACTCAGGTGTCACAGAGTTTCTTTTAGCCTGTGCTGATGGCAACTGAACATACGGAGGGTGAAGGGAACAATACGTCAAATTGTGGGTAAAGCCACACCTTATTTTCTCAAGTTACACATTCTCTTATAGTTATCTTGTGTCTTGGTGTTTACAGTTTTCCATGCAGTTTAAAAACAAACAAACAAAAAGCGGAAGGACGGAAAGATAGAGCTTTTATGGTCTTTTCCTTTATCAGCATTTAAATATTAGGATTTGCCTTAATATCCTTTCGTAAAAGATTTCAAACAGTAGGGAGTTGGATGCTTAGCTTTCATGACTCTTGTTCAAGGAAATACAGAGTGTGACTTGTATTTCCCCTCTGCTTAGGTTTTTAAGTTGACATCTTTTTTTGTGTGTTATTTTAAAAATTCAGAACTAATTGCATGACCGACATTTTACAAAGCACCTGAATCCTCCCTTGATTCAACAACACAAAATACCTGGACAACAAGTGTTTTCAACTATCGGATGACGTGAATTTGAATTTAGGTTTAAGTATAAACCATTAGCCAAATCAGTTTTACTCATTTCTTGTTATTTCTAATCTCTAAATTGTTCTCCTTATATTAAAGTATAGAAAATGCTCAGACTGGATTCACATCATTGGTATACAGCCTTTAGTAAGTTAACAAAATACACTGGATAGGGTAGATTGGTAATCATTTACTTTCAACTAATTGACAGTGAAAAAAAATCTAATGTTCAAGAACATTAATCTGATGTTCATATTTCTTTTCAGCCATTTTTAATCCTGTGGAAAGTTCTTTAGTCAAGTTACCCTTTCATTAGGATGACAGAAAATATTAAGTTATGTGCAAAATTTAAAAATTCTCAATAAATAGATTCATTTTCCTTTTACTTCTGATTGCAAAGAATTTCAGAATTTAGGTTAAAGAAAGAAGCAAACTTTCCTTATTCACAGGCCGTATCTTGCCTGTTTTTTCCACTAATATGAGTCTGAAACAGATCCCTAATCTCCTACAAAGCATTTCCTTGGAGGCTACTTACCTATCATCTCCAATACATTCCCCTAAACCACGGCT